TTCTCCAAATAAAAATTATTAATTTAGTAATAATAATAAAAATTATAATTATAATAATTGATAGTAATATAACAATTATCATTATTATTACTATCAATAAATGACAAAAAATATAGAGAAGCATTTATATGTGTGATGTTAAATTAGCATTGCTTGCTAATAACAATTGTAGAATAAGTATTAATATGAGTAACTGTTGTTATTAAAAGCAGTAATTATTAGTAGGCTTTGTTGTGGTAGCAGTAGCAGCAGCAGTAGTAGTAGCAGCAGCAGCAGTAGAAGTAGTAGCAGCAGCAGTAGAAGTAGTAGCAGCAGCAGTAGAAGTAGTAATTGAACAAACGGCATTTATGCCAGGTAAAAGTAGTTATTATTATTATTATTATTATTATTATTAATGTAATTACAGTTATACTGGGAAACAATTGCAGAAAACATGGTTATTATTGTCATTTTTATTATTGTTATTATTATTATTGTTGTTGTTGTTGTTATTATTATATCCTACTATCATTCAAGCTAATTTCAATAAAAAATTCTTCAATAATTAATAATCGTTATATGTATATATATACAAATACACATGTACTCAAACATATATTTATACATACGTACATACATACATACTACATACGTACATACATACATACATACATACATACATACATACATACATACATACATACATACATACATACATACATACATATAATGCGTCGCATAAGTGCGCATCACACTAAAACAAACACTGTTATATAAATCTATATAAAATTACATATATACATATAAAACATATATACATACAAACATACATACACACACACATACATACATACATACATACATACATACACACATACATACATACATACATACATACATACATACATACATACATTATATATAAGCCTGAATGTAATAAAAATGCGCAGTGAGTTGGATAACTGAGAACTTCGCTTATGTACGCCGTACCTTTCCAAGTCAAAATTCCATTTTTGGCGGTACAAAAGTGGTATTTTTCTCGAAAATAGAGGTTTTTCGTTAATGTATTTCAATTTTTAAACGTTTATATGCAAAAAAAGTTGAGATTTTTTGAGATTTTTGTAGAAAAACTGTCAAGATTTGAACGGTGCATTCAGTTTGAGTTTTCGGTTGGCACGGTCTTTAAGGGCGTTTGGGTGTTTTAGATTGAGTTAGACTGGTTCGAATGTTGTTAACTTTAATGTTTGGTTTGATGATTTGTAAATTTTAATCAAAATTTGAAAGTAATTTTGAAATGAACTCGGTAGAATTTTCGCGGTCAAGCGGAGTAGGAGATAGTTGGTCAAATCTATCTGCGCCGTAGGTAAAATTTGACGAATTTCTGAGTTTCTGCGTTGTTTATCTTTGTAATTTTATCAACTTTTATGATTCTGAAGATAACTTTTTAAGAATTTAGGCTGTTTTCTGCTATTGAAGTTGTTATTTTGCCTCTGGATGATTAAATTTTATAGGGTGTGTGCTGTTTAATACAATGGAAAGTAGAATGGGAGTGAACATTTTTTGTGATGTCGCTGATAGGAAAATTAATAAATTGTCAAATTAATTGTTCAACATGCTTATTAATTATAATAAATTCAGTATTAATATTATTATTTCAATTTTTATCAACAGTTTTCAAACATGCAAACCTTAGGAGGTTAACATAAATGAATGGATGCATGGCTAAAGAAAGATTTATCAAATTCCAACTAATGACTTTTGATGGCTAGTATATTTACTTAATGGTTGGTTCTCTTACTTAATTGATCAATAACATTTCTAAAATTTGAAAAAATGGTTTCATCATCATACTGTGTAGCCTCACTGAACAACCTTATTAGGTTTTTCCAACATCCAACTTGCATGGTTTGCAAGTTTGTGCCAACCAATTTATTTGGTCCCCTAGTACAACTGCTTTGTTTAATGATCAAGTAGCTAACTTTTCCACTATTAATTATTTCCACCAGCATTCCTAGTAACGTTACTTTAACCACTTTTTGCTTTCACCATAGAACTTTATTTACTGTTTCCACCACAGCTGCTGGTGTTTCTTTAGCAGCGCTGCAACCAACTTATGTAGCATCACTAAAACCACTACATTTAGTATCGTTCGAAATTATTTTTACTTGGTAGAAAAATATTTATTGTAATAATTATAAGTATTATTTAATTATATTTAATAGGTAATAGTAATAATTATTGTAGTTAATACAAATTTTAATTAATAATGTAAAAAATTTATTTCCTGAAAAATCTCGGTAGATAAGCAGGTTGGTTTTGGCTTTCAAATTTGTAGTAATAGCTGACTGATCATCTGATATTTCTTCCAGATTCTGCTATTATGTTTCAAGACCCATGTTCATTCATTCATTCATTCATTCATTTGTCTATTTATTCATTCTGTCAGTCATTTGTTCATTCGTTCGTTCATTCAATCAAAAAAAAAATAGTCAACGCCGCTTCTTTGCTTTCACTCATTTATCCATTCGTTCATTTGTTTGCTCATTCAATCATTCATTCATCTGGTCATTCAATCAAAATAATTGTTCGACGCTGTTTTTCGGATGTTCAACGGAGTTTTTTTATCCCATTCAAGCATTCATTCATTCATTCACTCATTCGTTCGTTCGTTCATTAAAGAAATGTCATTTATATAGCGCAATTTTCTTAATCTCGGAGAGCGCTTCTCAATAAAATCCTAAAATTAAAATAGTAAATCACAAATTCGTCAATATCGGTGTAGCAACAATGGTAGACGTGCTTCATACTGGTTATCACGTAAAGATGAATTGTTGAACGGATGAATTGTTGAATGAATGAAAGATTTGAATTTGTTTATGTAGTAGTGATGAATGAACATTGTAAAATGAGTAGCGTTGCTAGACCTAGTATAAGTTAACTGGTATACGCGGGGATACTTCGATATAGCCGATTTTTGGATGAGTTAGTCTCCCTTTATCGTTTATTGCGATAAAACCGGGTTGATTCGATGTATGAGGTCAGATGTTTGTTGTATCCGGTTATTACGATGTTGATACAGGTTTGACTTTATATATTGGATTGGAAATATATATTTTTCCTAATTTTATCAAACAATTGTGATCGGTTAACCATTCATTCAATTATTATTTCGCTTGCTCAATCACCACTCATGCAATCACCCATTCATTCATTTATTAACTTCGTTGTTGTTGTTCGTTAAAACTTGTAACTATAAATTGTCTGTGCGGTAGATTTAGGATGAATCACCCAACAATATCAACCAAGAATACTTGTGTATCATAAAACTATACTCACTGGGATACATGTGTATCATTACGTGATACCAACCAAGAATACCTACTTAGAGTTTATCTTTCCTGTACGACAAAGATGCAAACAATCACTCAACCAATCATGAACAGTCAATCAATCACAGTCGGCTAATCATATGGCTAATCTCACATTCAACCAACCAATCACAACCAACCAATCACAACCAACCAATCACCGTATCTGCATAACCAGGAAGATGTTCTCTATGTAGGTGTTCGAAGTTGGGCCATGACGACCTTGTGACCTTTACACAAACTATGAACCCCGTGAACTTTGCACTCTGTGTCGGCTTGTTATATTATGCATTTGAAAAATTAAAAAAATCATCTTAATATATCGGTTATTATCGAATATATTGGGTGAATCAATAAACGAGGGGGTGAATGATTGAATATTAAATGAATTGTCATATGAATGAATAAATAAATATTCAAAATCTGTCTTTGTGTCATAAATTGATCCAAGTTTGTAAGCAGGAAAAACAGAAAAAAATCAATCAGTTAGTTTAAGAAGTGCTATTTTCGCGATTAAGAGCGCTCCTCAATAAATTTTGCCAACAGACGCGGGTCTTGAGATCCGCCCTGAACTTCGTAAGTGATGGAGAACTAGTCAAGAGAAGGAGGTAGAGAGTTAGGATAACAGGAATAGCTACAGTAGCAGCAGTAACAACAATGACAGTGGTAGTAGCTGTAGTAGCAGCAGCAGTAGTTGTAGTTGTAATAATTACAAAATAAGTACATGTTGGTGTGTGAAGATTATAGAATAGCGTTAAAAGGCATATATTGGATCTTAAGATGTTTAGTGTTACCTGACGAGCAAATATTTAATAGATACGTTTTTGGTTAGTGTTGTATTGTTCGTTCATTTTACTCATTCGTACATCATTTTATTCATCCATCCAATCATTCATTCATTTATTTGTTCACTCAATGAATCAATCATTCATCTATCCATTCATTAATTCATTCATTCAATCACATAACTTGATATTCTCTTTGAATGGTAAGGTTGTATAGGTCTTATTAATACCAGCTGAAAGGCTAGATATTTGCTAGCAGCACCAAATAATTCTTTAAAATACTCTAAGAAAATTTCTAAATAAATACAATAAAACCTAAATAAATACAATAAAACCCAAAATAGACGCGGTGCTAATACTCAAAAATAATGATACCATTGCATAACGGTATAAAGAGCAAATGAAGTGCTAGATCTTTGCTAGTATTCCTAAAAGAACCTTTCATCTACCCAACTAAGCAAGCATAAATATAAACAAGCTGAACGTGACGAATGTCACTTAACTTAAGCCGTTGAAGATTGCCTATAGAAGAATCTTAAAATATCATAAAATAATACAAATGCAATGCCGTGCTACAATTTCGATACGATACGATACGAAAATTAATACGATACGATACTTGATGTTACTGCTTTTTTATTACTAAATACATCTATATAATGCTGTAAAGTATATATATATATATATATATATATATATATATATATATATATATATAGGTATATATGACGTTACAGGAAATATTTTATGTCCAATCTTTATTTATTAGCTGTCACGTTCAATTTTAAATTTATCTACTATATATCTGAGTTAGCAACTAATATGAATAAATTGATTAATAATTAGTTAATTAATAAATTAATTAATAATGTCTAATGACAAACCCGTGTCATTAAATGTGTGTCCCGTCAGCACTCTGATGGACGAAGTTTGCGAAATAACCTGTCGAAACTTGGAACCGCATAAGAGTACATCCCTACTGGCAATCATCCACAACGACGAAGATGCTACGTCATTCTATTCACTCGGTACTTTTGTGTCGGATCTCAGGGGCGAAATCGACGTTAATAGGTCGTTTTCTTACAGTGGGACCTATACCGGGACGGAAAGTATGGGATTGTTTTGGAGTGCCATTCCTGCCCCGGATCAGAAAGGTGGATCGAGGCTGATCAAAAGAGTTGTTGACGTCTCGCTTGATTGGAATCTGTTTTTGATTGACGGCTGCGCTGACGAGGAAGACGTGATGGTCGTCGTGAATCACGTTAAGCGCTGCAGAGCTCGGCAGAAAAAGGAAAAAGTTACATCTGGAAACGAAAGAGCATCAACTAACGATGGCCCAAACTCCGAACATTTGCTGATTAACGATGTAACATTACCGGATAACAAGCGAGTTTTAGCTCGGGCGATTTCTAAACGATATTACTGCTACCCCAGTGACGTCACGCAAACAGCAATCAGGGATGGGAGAGTTAGAGGAATTGTTTTCAGTTTGAAAAATAAAGAACATGAAAGTAAATCGAAAGCTTTCGGTGAAAGGAAAGGAATAATTGAAGTGTATGGAGGAGGATCGTTCAAACTCTACAAAGCTGCTCTCCTAGCTCAGAGAGGTTTCGTCGTTTTTGCGTTGGCTTACTGCGATTATGAAGACTTACCTCGACGAGAAATCAACACAACTGTTGACTATTTCATCGAAGCCGTCGAATACATGCTGTCGAATCGATTTCCCATCCGATTCGATGTTAAATGCGGTATCGGTTTAATCGGTCTGTGCAAAGGGGCCACTTTGTTGCTAGAGTTAGCGGCTGTTAACCCACAAAATGCAATTCGCTGCGTGGTAGCCGTCAACGCGCCTTGCTTCAACAGCATTGGCTCTTTCACTAGGGCGGGGTCAACTGAAAATATCGCTCACGTCTGGAATATGAAAGACCCCTTGCTACAAAAAACTAACATCGGAGTCATATCAGACGGTTTGCTGGAATGGTTTCTCCGAAAAGATCCGAGCGAGCAAGAGAGGATCGGTATTCCGGTTGAACGGATCGATGCCGAGATTTTGTTCGTGTTCGGTGTCGATGATGTCTCCATTGGAGTGAGAAACATGGAGTACATGGTTGAGAGGATGAGGAAACGTGGGAAGGACAATTACAAGTGAACGTGTATTTTAATTTTATTTGATTAAACGGCTTCATTTCATGTCGATTGTAATAAAAAATTTTGTCAGTAAAAATTTCTTTAAGTAGAGGTACTTCAAACTTCTTCAAATTTATTGATCTGTAAAAGTAATAAAAGTTGAAATTGAGAATTAATTTTACCAGGTGTCTGGTGTATCCGGGGGCTGGCCACATCATCGACCCGCCCATATTCCCGCTCTGCCACGCCAGTTACTGGCCCATGTTTGGTGACGTATTTGTGTGGGGTGGCCTTCCTAAACTTCACCACGACGCACAAGTCGATTCTTGGAAGAGAATAATAGAATTTTTTAAGATACATCTATGCTAATTTATCAATAAAACGGTAGATAATTAATTAATTTTAATTAATTAACTGTAATTAGTTAATTTATTATTGTCATTATTTAATTTAAAATTAAATCTTGGTTGATTTATTTTTAAACCGTGAGACCAGTATTGCATAATTTTTACAGGCATCTTTCAATTTTTTTTATATTTTCAAGTGTTATCGTTCAGAACTGCAGGTGACACTACCATATATTAAGATATGTGATATATTAAGATGTTATTTTTGAAATAATTATTTAATTTTGCATTGAAGAACGACGATTTGCTAAGAAAGTTTCATTTTAATGAGTTTAAATTTACATTCAAATATGAAAAATGTTTTTGTTAATACGTATGAACGTACTTTTAATATGCTTTGCCTGTTCGCAATCCTTCTAATAAAGCTCAATCATTTAATTTTTTTTAGATTTGACTTAATGTTGAAAACATACACACAGACACACACATAGACACACACAAACAACACACATGCAGATGTTTACTGTTCTAATCAAACCAAATCTCTATCAATTTGCCCAATGTTTATAATTTCATTTATTTTTTTTAATTTCATTTCAATTTTATTCTCAAATTGCTAACTTTAATTTGTAAAGTTGTATTTATTAGTGAACAATATCAAATCGAATTTCGACGTATATCTAGGCTTTTTGATAATATTTTACTCTGACGTCATATTTTGTTTATTCTTTACCAAATCTTTCTTATTTACTCCTCGATTTTGCAAAAGTTTTGTGAAAAACAGAAAATAAAAATGGCCGATTTTCAACGAAAAAAAATTCGCGAACGCAGAGAGCAGACATCAAAAGAGAGAAAACGTGGCACCGAGAGAACCAGCAGTCACAACCTGGACGACGTTGCATTCAAACCCGCGCCCCACTGCTCACATCATCAACATCCTCCTCCTCAGTTCCCATCCGCTAATTTTGTAATTAATTCCTCTCAAAACATCAACAACAGCAACAACAATGACATCAGTAGCATTAACAACAGAAATATGAGCAGTAGCGGGCATTACAAATTTCTAAAATATTACGTTAATAATGTTCTTGCGAGAAATCATAGTGATCAAGACGGCGATAATAACGAAACCAATAACGGGAATAACGATACCGATAACGAGAATAACGATACTGCTAACAAAAATAACAGTTCGGAGGTTGGGCAAAATCAGTATGTTGAGAAGATGAGGAATTTGAGCCTTGCTGTAGACGCTTGGAATGAGTGAGGAATAATTTTTGTCCACAGTTTATGATATTAAATTTATTAATTTCTCCAAGAAAATGTGATTTACTCAAAATAATGAAATAATTAATAAAGACAGAATGATTTAAATGAACCAAACGATTTAAACGATATCAACGATTTAAATGATTCAAACGATATAAATGATTTTAGTTTAGGTGAGTATAACCAATCAGAATGGTTCACACAGTCGGACACATCAATCGACGACTCGAACCAGTTGCAATCCTCTTGTAACAAGAGAGCGGCCCAAGCTCCATTAGGCTCTAACCCAGGCCCTAATCCTAACTTGCCCCCAATTCCACCCTTAGCTCGAGGAAAGAAAAAAGACATTCACACTCAAAACAAATCATCAAAATCGACCAACGTAGCTAAGAATCTGAAGCAGTCGGCTAACTCGATTAAGGTCCGCAAATCATCAGTTGTTTGCCGCGGGAATCGCAAATTCTCTTCTCTGACTAAAAAACGAACGAAATCATCAAAACCGCCGACACTAAATGTCAGACGTTCATCAGTTAGAAGTAAGAAAAGAGTAGTCGCGAATAGTGGCAAAAAAACCACAAGCGGTAACTCTAAACAGAGAAGCAGTGCGACCGAATCGACGACTAAAAATTTTAAAAACGCGAAACAAATCAGTCGTAAACGCTTCACTAGCTCGTCAAAGACACACAAGCTATGTCGCAGCTCTGACAAACACAACAGCAACATCAGCCGTAACCGCAGCGAGCTTCAGAAGGCTCCTTGCAAAAGTCCTGGCAACAGAAAGTTTCGACTTAGAATTTGTAAAGACGACGACGACGATGATAGCAATGTTAATAATGCCAACAACGGGAACGACGGTGACGATGGTATTGATGTTAATGATGATGATGATGGAGGTGGTGATCGTAGAAATGGTGGTTTTCCTAAATTTTTCCGTGGTAGGGAGCCAGCACCCCATTGCTTCAAGTTGTTGAAATGAATTTTTTTCATTTTTTTTTGTTTTTGAAAGTTCAACATTTTGATCGAACGATGTGACGCTAATTTCTGCTTAAATTTATTAACTATTTATATTATAATTAAAAAATTATTTATATTATAATTAAAAAATATTTACAAAAAATAAAAATTTATTTACTTGTCTAGAACGACACTGCACTAATTCGCAAATTTTACTTCATCTATTGTGGTATTCCCGATGTTTATAACAAGGCTTTTTATAGATACGTATGTATGTATATATTATGTATGTATGTATGAATGTATGAATGTATGTATGTATGTATGAACGTATGTATGTATGTATTTATGTATTTACATATATATATATATATATATATATATATATAGAGAGAGAGAGAGAGAGAATATGTGGAATATATGTAAAAACGTTTAAAAAATACAGGGTTGTATGCACGTTTAACAGTATATTATTAAATAAGGTTATAATATTAAATATATGTATTATTAATTAATTAATTAATTAATTTGGCTTTGTCATAATATTCCTATGACTCTGATAAACATTAACTGAGCTTACTCATATATATGTCATTAATAATTATAAATCAATTTATAAGTTTATTCTCATTTTTTGATATTCAGATTATTATATTAATGTAAAGTAAATAAATTACTCAAATAAATTAATAAAGTTAATAAATTAAATAAATTATATTAATTAATAAATAAATAAATCAGAATAGTATCTGTACTGGTCGCTAGTCTAGTAGTAATCATTATTTTAATTAATGCAATTATCAACATAATACCAGTACAACTAATACTATACTATAATTGTACTACTACTGTTACTGTTGCTGGAGTGGCTACTGAATTACTACAACATTGACCGACCACACACTACTAATAATACTATGAAGACAGCGAAAAGAATCAGTTATAATATTAATACTGCTACTACTACTACTGCCACTACTACTACTACTACCACTACTACTACTACTACTACTACTACTGCTGCTGCTGCTGCTGCTACTACTACTACTACTGCTACTACTACTACTACTACTGCTACTACTACTGCCACTACTGCCGCTACTGTAACTACTGCAAGTAGCGTTTTTAGTAATTTTACTTCTGGGATTAAATGCAAAGATGACTCGTTAGAAAAATACGCCAAGTTTATATGCCTTTTATCATCTTCATTTAATAATGACAATATTAACAATCGTAAAAGTACTACTACTACTACTACTACTACTACTACTACTACTACTACTACTACTACTACTACTGTTGCTGCTGCTGCTGCCACTACTAATAATAATTTGTGGCTATTGTCGTTACCTTATGTTGGAAGTGATAGCTACACGTCAAACGCTATTAAATATTCTAGCCAATTACTTGAAGAAGTTGAAATTCATGGCGACGACGACGACGATGACGATGATGATGCTGATACTGATGATGAAAAAGATGAAGAAGATGATGAGGATGATTTCAACCAGCGAGATATCAGATGTATTAGATTTTACACCAAACTAATTTTTGCGCACAAATGCATTAGAACGTCATCGTCATCATTGTCGTCGTCATCATCATCATCATCACAAGAATTTTCACAATCATCATCATCGTCTTCATCATCATCATTTTCATCATCACATTTTTGGCCTTGCTCATCATCATCAGCAGCAGCAGTAACTCAAGGATGTCAAATTTGCCTTATTAAAAATAATTTGAGACTCTTGTGCTCCGCTTATAAGAATTACACGAACAATTCAACCACCACCACCAACAACAACAACACCGATACCAACAATAACAACATCAATTACAACAACACTAATGTCTTGGACGTCAGTAACAACAAACCTATTCTTATTAGCAACTACAGCAACTACAACATCAACCAGAATCACGTTTTAGGCGCCAACAACAATCTTTACAATCACATAATCTGGAATAACGTCAACTACTACAACAACATCAACAACATCCACAACAACAACAACATCCACAACAACAACAGCATCATCAATAACATCAACAACAGCAACAAAATCAGCAACATCAACATCAACGTCAACAATCGTCATCAGTATACATCCCTACCTACAAGGCACATTAACAAAGATAGCATCTCTCTCTTCAAATATGTCTCGGTTGAAAGTTTAAAAAAATACTTACACCTGCATAAAAATATTTTACTCAATAATAATAATAATAATAATAATAATAATAATAATAATAATAATAATAATAATAATAATGCTGATGATAATGATAATGGTTATCGTAAATTGTACAAACTATTTATGCCGTCAAATGAATATGAAAGAGGTTTCTTACTGGAAGACATGAAGGTACGACGATGATGATGATGATGATGCTGTGGCTGCTGTGGCTGCGGTTGCTGCTGCTGATGATGTTGATGATGATGACGACGATGATGATGTTGATTACGAAGGTAATTGAATGAGTGAATAGAATAAGTTTAACGCAATAATGATAACAATCACCATTTTTATCAGCACATCACTATCATCATTGTTATCAGGATAAACTCCGAGTAAATCAAAACCAGTCTTACTTACTAAACTATGATTACATCACACCGACGACCAATCAGACGATGAAGGGCTGTTGTGGGCGGTGCTTTCTGGCCGTAGATTGTAATACCGGGTTCAAGTTCTGTATCAAATCTGTAAGATGATTGGATGATTTTTTTTTGTTTGGTTTTTCAATCAATCAATTAATTGATTAATCAACCAACCAATCACACAACTAATCATACAACCAATCAACCAACCAAGCAATCAACCAACCAACCAACCAACCATCCATACATCTAATCAACCGGCCAATCAACCAACCAGCCAACCAATCAAACCACAGATTGAAAAGAACAACTTCAAATCGGAAGAGGTATTAACGATGCTTGAATTATTAGGCAGCAGAGGCATACCGCACTTGTACGGTGTATCATTCAGTATTAATCGAGTCTTCATTTTCATGGAGTTCATTAACGGTTAGTGGAACGAATGAGGAAATAAATGGATGAATGACGGATAGGTAGATAGATGGAAAGATAGATGAATAAATGAATGGACAAATGAATGAAGTGCGATTGAATGAATGGCTCGCTCGATACAAAATAATTTTTTATTATTATGTTAATTAGGTGAAACTCTTCAGTCAAAAATCGACAACTTCAACGCCAGTGGTCAGTTCATTGACCAATCAGAATGCTTGTTCATTCTCTGGAAGGTTCTAAAAGTCCTACATAACTTACGAAAGAAAAATATCATTCATAACGACATCAAAGGTAGTTATTTGATAAATTGATTGACTGAATGAATAAACGATTACAATTGGACAATTAATCAACCAATCACAGCTGACAACATAATAATAACCATCCCAAACACCGTAAACCCCGCTCTATACGACGTAACCATCATCGATTTTGGCCTGTCAATCATACACGACGGGGGCGGAGTCAAAAAAGAAACTTGGCCCGTGGGAAGTCAGTGTAACTGGAGCCCGGAAAAGGCAGCCAGCGAGGGTTACGATGATAAGAGTGATCTTTGGGCCGCCATTTGTGTGTTTGTTCATATGCTCTGTGGTCGACCGACATGGTCAAGATATCAGGACAATTTAGGGTGCCTACATTATGTGGTAAGTGATTTTTTTTTGTTTGGGGGAAGTTTAAAAAATAGAGATGTGTCTTTTGTTATGTGGATTATTTATTTAAACAATCAATCCATCAACCAACTAACAAACAAATCAACCAACCATTCAACCAACCAACCAACCAGCCAACCAACCAACCAAACAAACCAACCAATCAGATAAAGATGAAATCTCCGCCACTGTCAGACCTACCATCACACACAAAACCATCTATTGAAGAATTCATCAAACTGGCATGGACGGTGGACGTTGAGAAGAGGCCGACCGTCGGCCAGTTATTATCGCACGGAATATTTCGGCAGCACCATCTTCTGCAAAATGTCTTCAATCAGTCAGGTTGTCTATCTCTGAGAGGTGAAAGTATAATATCACTGCTGAGAAATCAGGAAGATGGTTTTAAAGAATCTCTTTTCAGTGGAGAAATACTAGAACATCAACCCCAACAGCATCGGCAGCAACCACAACTACTACAGCCACAACAACTATTACAGTCACAACAACTACTACAGCCACAACAACTACTACAGCCACAACAACTACTACAGCCACAACAATTATATACTACAACGACGTCACCATCTTTGTCTGGGACATCTCAGTTATGTTTATATGAGGTTCAATTTGATAGGTTGCAAGTAGCGACACCGCTATCATCCGTTGATTTTTTCGATTCTAGAGATTGCGATGTTGCCGATGTTGCCGACGATGTTGCTGCTGCTACTACAGATGCTGATGAAGTCGCTACTGCTGATGATGATGTTTTTGACGACGACGACGACAATGATGATGTGTTTTCGAAATATGAAGGGGAAATTGAGAAATTAATATCGTCTATAAAACAAAGTGGTGTCGCGGGCCATATTGATAGTGTCACTTTATCGGAATTACACGAAATTTTGGATGCTGATGAAGATGAAAATGATGATGACGACGACGATGGGGACGCAACTTTCAAAGAGCTGCAAAGTTATCACCATCAACAACAACTACATCAACAACAACTACATCAACAACAACTACATCAACAACAACTACATCAACAACAACTACATCAACAACAACTACATCAACAACAACTACATCAACAACAACTACATCAACAACAACTACATCAACAACAACTACATCAACAACAACTACATCAACAACAACTACATCAACAACAACTACATCAACAACAATTACATCAACAACAATTACACTATCAACAATTACATCGACAACAGTTGTTGCCAGATTACATCAATCACCATCATCAACAACAACAACATCAGCATCAACAACACCATCTACCTAACCATCCAAATGACCAGCCAATGAACCACCACATACCACTACTACCGATATTTTGCGAAGAAAACGATGATGACGATGATCCACAATAACAAAAAATATATTATTACTTAAAATAATTGAAATAATGAAACTAAATATTCTCTGATCGGATCCAAATTATAAACTCTTTTAATAGTACAACAATAAAATTCCCACTTGTAACAAATAATTTCATAGGCCGAAATAGCGCAGAACGTTTTGCAATGTAAGCGGTGATTTCTTTGCATTCGAACCGACTGCATTAGCCTCAACCAACAGACTTTCACATAATAATTATATAATAATATAATTTTTCTCGCAAGTTTTTATATATAACTATTTATTTATTATAATATAGGACAATTAATTGTAAACTTGTACTATAGAGTTCCTTCTAATTAGGATGTATTCATTTTGTCGAGTTTTTGTATGCGAGTGTATGTACGTGTTTGTATATATGTATGTATGTGTGTGTACATATGTATGTACACATATGTATTTATGTGTTTGTGTACAAGTTTTGAAGTGCACTTATTTTCGACATTATACTCTTGTTGGTGATAATTTTGATAGAATTTTGTTGAAACAAGGAGAAAATGAAACTAACACAATTAGCCGAATTATTAAAAATTAACAATTCATAGTTATAATGAAATTAAAACGATATATTTTTCTCTCTCTCTCCCTCCAATTAATTTCAATCCAGCCAACCAATCAACCTGTCAACCAACCAACTGAACATCAATATCGCTACCATTCATCAAAATATAACAGTATTTCAATCTTATGAAATAATCTGATCTAATGAAGAAAATTATAAAGGCAATTAAATAAATTAGCGATAATATAATATAATATCTCATCATAATTATATTCAGTACCAAACGCCAGAAAAACAACGATTCATCCACAGGAGCTCCACATCGCCAATGCAGTGGCGACCATATCTAAGGGGTCAATCTTTTAGGATCTCTAGGGAACATGCAGGCCTTCCTAATGTTTTCGAGACCCAGGTACAACATAGTCACCCTTTCGAGCCCTATGCCACCCCCGGCGTGCGGAGGGGCCCCGTAGCGGAAGCTATCAATGTAGGCCTCGATCTTCTCCAGATCTGTTCGTGGCAGACATCAGGATTAGTAACTAAATCGTACCATTTTCATAAATTAATAAATAACTTGGTGCCAATTTATCATAAATTAACATAAATTAACGATTGCTTGTTACCGATTTTGTGTTCTTTGGCCCTTTCGATGAGGAAGTCAGCGTCGTGGACTCTCTGTGCACCTGACAGGATCTCCTCGCCCCTCATGAACATGTCGTACGAATTGGAATACATCTGTTTGTGTGTGTGTGTTTGTATGTGTGTTTGTATGTTTGTTTGTATGTATTTGTATGTCCGTTTGTATGTATAATGCATGTAAAATAAAAAAAAGATACAAATATTGTACACACCAAATTATTTGGATCAGGCATTGTGTAGAATGGCCTGACAGCCAATGGGAATTTGTCCATTATATAGAAATCTGTATCGTACTGTTTTGTAGTTTTGTTTGTATTAGCAAATTTTCAACATCAGCCTCCAACCAACCAAACAATCATTCAACAAACCAATCAATCAATCAATCAACAAACCAATCAATTAATCAACAAACCAATCAATTAATCAACAAACCAATCAATTAATCAACAAACCAATCAATCAATCAACCAATCAATCAGTCAGTCTGTCAGCAATCAGTAAACAGACCTTAGCTTTAACCAATCTACCAAGCAGTTTCTCGTGTGGCGTACTCAAGTCCTCGTCATCGGCAACATCAACACCATTGTCCCTCAGCAGTTGTATGCCCTCTGCAAACGTTATCACCAAACTGAAAATTGAAAAAAATCAGAAGATAAATAACCGGAACTAAAACCCAAAAATGATCAAAGGATAGAATAAATTGATGAATAAAAAAATGAATTAACAAAAAAAAAGAAATAATATCAATCAACCCGACCTACCTCGGTTCGAGATATTTGAAAGGTTCATTAGGGTACTGCTTGAAGACCGTACTGATCTCAGTTTGGTACCTTTTGGTAGTTATTATTTTCTTGAAAATTAATTTTGCCTAAAAACCAATCTTAATAAACTTCATCTTTACAACAAAGAAAAAATAAATAACTTTTCGAAAAAAATATAAAAAGTAAACAAAACACCGCCATTTTGCACTAACTACACTAACTTAGTTTCAAGCCCCTTGAAGATTTGAACGAACAAGTCTCCAATGACCTGAAGAACTTCATGGTAGTGGTACTGGAAGGCCATCTCAATATCAAGACCCACAAACTCAGTCATGTGGCGGTGGGTGTTGCTGTCCTCTGCTCTGAATACTGATTGGTCGGTTGGTTTTAGAGTCGAGTAGATGATTGGTCGGTTGGTTGGTGATCACAATCACCACCACATCATCATCATCATCATCACCTCACCTGCACCAACGGTGTAAACTTTATCGAAATCTCCACACACAGCCATCTGCTTGTACAGCTGTGGGCTTTGTGCCAGGTAGGCCTTCCTCTTGAAATAGGTCACCTCAAATACATTGGCTCCTCCCTCTGAGGCAGCTGATGCGAATAAATTAACATAAATTATTATCACTTTCATTTACATACTACATACGAGTTTGTATTATAGCAATGAAAAGCAATAAAATTCTTTTAGTTATATTTAAGAATGCTTCAATAAATGAAACATCAATGAAAATCTCTGCTAACCAGAAATTATTTTAGGTGTGTGGATCTCAACAAATCCTTTAGCCGAAAGCGCATCTCTGAAAAGTTGGCAGACCCCAGCCTCAATTCTGAAAATGGCATGATTGGCTGGTGTCCTAAGGTCAATGACTCTGTTGTCCAATCGCGTGTCAAGAAGGACTGTGCCTAATTCCTATTGGTCAAAAATTTTAAAGATTGCTTAGTTAACGAAATATTTACTTCACAGTTAAGATTATTGTGGTTGTACCCATTGTAGTAAACAACATCGATACAATCATCATCATCCTCACCATCCTCATCATCAGTACCTTATCACTTTCAGGCCTGGATGCATCTTCAACCAACAAAGGCAACCTTGGTACGGCCTCACTTACAACCCAAAACTAATTTGGAAAATTTATTCAATAACAATAATAGAAATCATCATCATCATAATCATCACCACCCTTACAATCATCATAACTCCTGCCTAACTTGATTGACGTGAAGTTCGACATCCTGCTGGGAGCAGCTTTCAACTTTCTTATCAACAGCTCTGACCACACCCTCGATGTCTACTATCGATTCTTTGTTCACTCTGATCAATTGTGATAATTATTATTGTTTATAATTATTATTTATAATTATAGCTATTTTTGTTGTAATTAAAAATTATACTAATGAGGATATATATATAACCAAGCAAACATTTAACAATTGTATTTTCATCAGAATTCATCATTAGATCACTGAAATTTAGATCCCCAACAGAAAACCTTCTTCATAAATAAATTTACCACATCTTACTTACTAATCCAACTGGAATTCCCCTCTAACACAACCTTAATCTTAATTTTCACTAACCCAGCAATGAATTTGAGCATCTGTTTGCTGATACCCCCAGTGCTGAAGGCAGCCAGCACTTGAATTGTGAAGTGGTGTTGTCTGATCACTGCAAAACATTGTCGGCCTAGGAGGAAAAAAGATTGAAAAAACTAAAAAAAGATCAAAAATTAGTTTGGCGACTACTACAAATTAAAAATGATTTTCATTGATGTTTTTAACATATTATAAAATCAAGAAATTTAAGATTTTGTTATATCCTAACCAGAACTTCTACTCGTGAACAGTCTTCCCCTGATCCATATTGTCTGATCTTTCTTATCCAGTCCAACTTCACCGACGTTAACTAGGACCCTGTCTATTTTTTCTTTAGACTGAATTAAAGGCAACTTCCCATAAAGATGTTTGGCTGAGTCATCTGCTTCAGCTGCCTGGGCCAAATCTTGCTCCAGAAGTTCCTGCTTTTGCTGCTTTTTTGAGGCCTTTTCTGCCTCTTTTTGTTGCTTTTTCAGGGCTTTTTTAGATGTAGGTTTGTCGTCACCCCTGGCGAATTTTTGAAAAATAGTAAAATTTGCATCATCCATCCATCATGAATTTAAACTTGAACATGTGTCATCATCGATTTACTCATACATAAAATATTTAAAATAAATCATAAAATTAAAACATACCCGACAGCTTCAGAAACATTTTCTTTGGCCTCCGACATTTCAGAGTTAGTGAAATTTGTGATTTTAAAGAGCAAATCTCACCTACACGCCAACAAATTGATGATAACGTTTAAAAGTTAATAAGATTGTAATTTTTCAAACATTTAATTTTTTTCGATAATATCATTCATTTTTAGCTAAATAAAACAGATAATAATTATTTTAAGTTGAATAAAATAAAAATATGTTTTTTATCAGTAAAAAGCATTTCAATATGTTCAATTTCATTCCTTCTTTTAATAATGAGATAAAAACGGGTCGTGCTGTTTCACTAGCTTGGAACGTTGGCTTCTTGACTGACTTATTTATATATAGATATATATAGATATATATATATATATATATATATATATATATATATAATATTAATTCATTATAAAAGCAACATAATCTGGGCTACATATGTACCCACGCAGTTCAAATTTTTCGGAAAATTTAAAATAGTTTGAGATCACACCTTGCTTAACATCAATTTTATAATTTAAATATTTATGATGAACTCTGATGAACTACGTGCATATAACAATGTAACAAACTCTATCACACTGATGAAAGGTTACCGAAAAAAGCTTTTATGTAAATGTATATCATTGAATATAATTCCATGATGTATATATTAAAAATGTAGTCTAAAATAATTAGAAATTTTATTATTAATCCAAATAAATTGATTAATATTGATAAAATAATTGTTTGAAAAAATAAAAAACTTAGTTACAAACTCAACAATGTGGAAAATGCGGTGATATCTCCTACACACACACACACACACACACACACACACACACACACACACACACACACACACACACACACACACACACACACACACACACACACACACACACACACACACACACAAATATATATATATATATATATATATATATATACATATTTATTTCTATTGTATATATATATATATATATATTTCAATTATATATATATATATATAGTTTTGAATTCAATTGTTTTGTTTAACTTGATAAATTTTGATGATCATTTTTGTTCTAAGTAATTTCTGCCCATGGTTTAATTTATAAAAATAATAATTTATAAAAAAAATAATTTTAAATTACATAATAGAATTTAATTACAATTTTTTAAACATATTTAGTCAAGAAAATATTTTGTATTAGTTTGTTGAAACCCATGCAATTTCGTAAGCCAATAAGCCAATAAGCCAAGGAAGTGAATTAAAAGTGACAATTAAAAGTGAATTTTGTTTCTAATTAAATGAAATATAATCATAGAAAATCGTTTAAAAAATTCTCACGTTTTTTTTTTATTATAATTATGAAAAAATTTGATCGAAAATTTTTTTAAATGTTTAAATTATGAAAAAAATCACCCGATGCAAAAGATCTGTCATATTTTTTACGAAAAATCTAATCAGTCTACCTGTCTCCTTAATTTCTAAATTAGTGTACCTGACAATTTCATACTTTCACGAAGATGGCGCTGGTGTTATAACTAACAACCGTAATCGCCGAAAGTTATCCCACTCGCAAACTTTTCCTAATAACATTAATATGTCACTTCATGGCAACACTAACAACATCTATAACTCTTCTAATAATAGCAACACTTCTTATGACAACACTGACAATGGCCGTCAAGATGGCAATCAAAGTTACCGTCATAGAAGCATTTCAGGTTCCATCAATAATCAGACTTTTGATATCTACAAACTATTCACTATCAGAAAGTTTAAACTGATTGCATTCCTAATTGTACTGGCTGCTATTGGGTATCATGGCTCTCTTCACTTGCGCTATGGTTAGTTGTTTAATAATTCATAATTCTAATTAATATTAATGTAATGTTAAAATAAATTTATGAATAATTATGCAATAAATAAATAATTTTAACACAGGTAATATGGTATTCAATATAATAATCCTTTTTTATTATCATCCTCATGATTATTATTGTCTGTATACATATTATTAATTTATTCATATACTAATATAGTTTATCATAATTTATTCATAAAATAAAAAAAAGGCCACAGAACATGTAGCTGGCTCCTTAGCGACGGAAGATTTCAGGGCTACAATGAATGGCAGCCCTACGGCTGTATGATACATAAATATAGCAAGGGGTTTGTTGATTGATTGATTGATTGATTGAAGGAATAAAGAAATGAATGAGTGCAAAGATGGATGGATAAATGAATGAGAAAATGGGTTAATAGTTTGATGAAATGGACAGAATAGTGAGTACGTGAAATTCAATAAAGTGACCGAATCACAAATCAGGGATTTCAAAACGTGCATGCAGTACATTTCCTACTGGGGAGGTAGAAATCATTTTGCATTTGTTGGCGACTCCAGAATCAGGCAGTTGTACTTTGAGTTTATACAGCACCTAACTGACAAGCAGGTGAAAATGTATAAAGCCCACACTGATTTGAAATTTTCAGACAAAAGATCTAATATCTTAGTGGTCAGTTTTTCTTGTTATTCTTTGATTTGATTAGACACTGAGGGGGGGTGTTAATTAGAGATCATAATCATTACCATTATTGACGTCACCATTATCATCCTCGTCAACGACAACATCACCACTGACGTCATATTTATCACCCACTTCATCACCATCATCGTCATCTTCATCATCGTCTTCTTCATCGTCATCGCCACCTACACAATCATCATCATCATCATGACCAGGAGTTCTTCTGGAATCCATACGTGGACGAGTACATGAGAGGTAAGTTGAATAATTGGGTCAGTTCAAAATCTGCACCACAATTGGTCGTAATTGGGTCGGCCACGGTAAGTATTATTATTATTATTATTATGTTGTTGTTGTTGTTGTTGTTGTTGTTGTTGTTGTTATTGTCATTTTCATTATCAACAGTGGTCTATCAAGTTGAACAATGGCTCTGAAGAGGCTATTCCATATTATAAAAGTTGGAGTTCTTTCTTATAATTTTGTCGTTCATTTTCTTTATTGAGGTTTAACCGTTCGTTCGTTCGTTCGTTCATTCATTCATTCATTCATTTATTTATATATTTTCTCTCTCTCTCTCTCTCTCTCTCTCTCTCTCTCTCTCTCTCTCTTTCAATGGCTCCAGGCAACATATCTGAAACATGCAAGACTGTGCTTTCAAAGTACAAGAAGACTACCAAAGTCATCTGGATGCTGCAAGGTGATGATGACGATACTGACGCAAATAATAATAATAATAACTTATTATTTTAATTAGATCACGTGGTTGAATCCAAATTGTCCCCGAACCGCTCCATGATAACGAATAAGCAGATAGACCTCTATAACAGGGCTGCCGTTGAAAACTTGTCGGTCTTGATGATGATGTCGATGATGATGATGATAATGAGGACGATGATGATAATGATGTCGATGATGATGAAGATGATGACAATGACGACGACGATGGTTCAAATTCTATCTTGCTTGTTTAATTACGAAACTTTTTCTTTATTTTCTCTTTCTCTCTATAGAATGACATGCAACATCAACCTGTGGTCATCTTCAATTCTCATTGGCCAGGGATTTTTGGGGCGGGGCATCACCCCAACCAATACAATTGCCAGTTCGTTTTAATCCAACATTCTGATTGGATAGTTAATTTCATTTATTAATTTAGTGTGACTGGCTGGCTGGCTCGCTTTCTACTGTTTGACTGGTTCACTGCCTTGTTATAACTAAATACTTATCATACTTAGGCGAAAAAAACTCGCACAGTCCGAAAATGAAAGCATTGTCGCCGTCGTCATTTCAAAGTTTAAAATCAAGGTCAGAGCGCGGTTACACGAATGACATAGATGATAACAACAACAACAACAATAATGATAATATTAATAATAATGATAATGATAATATTGATGATAATGATAGTGATACTAAATTTAGCACTACTAGTTTGTTAGAATACTTCATTAACTTTGACAACAATAACAACAATAATAATAACATTAACAACAATAATGGTAATAATAATAAAAATAATATGAAGAAAAAGAATAAAAATAGGTCAAAATCGTCGTCCCATTCGCCATCGTTGGGGATGACAACCAAATCAACAATTTCATTTAATGACATCCATAACAACAACAACAATAATAACAACAACAACAATAATAATAATAATAATTTCGCCCCCATTCCAACTGAGGATGACCTTGATAGCAGTGTTGATAACGTCACTAATGACTCCGTTGCCAACGCCCAAAGGTTCATTTTGTAATTCGGACTGGTTGGTTGGCTGATGGATGATTGGTTGACTGACTGACCAACACCGATTGATTGATTGATTGATTGATCGACTGGTTGATTGATTGATTGATTGATCGATCGATCAATTGGCTGGTTGATTGATTGATTGATTGATTGACTGACTGATTGATCGATCAATTGATTGATTGATTGGCTGGTTGATTGATCGATCATCGATTGATTAATTGATTGATTGATTGATTGATTGATTGATTGATTGATTGATTGATTGATTGATGACTATCCAACCAACCAACCAACCTACCTCACGTAAGCTACGAAGACGGTCTGCACATCTCCACTGGCGCTCTCCAAATAGACACACAAATCCTCTTCAACCTCATCTGCAACAACTACATGAACTTTGACGACGGCAGCTGCTGTACAAGCCCTGAAAATCCGACAACAGTGCAGATAGCCATGGCCGCTTTCTTCGCGACTTCACTCGCTGCAGCCGTCTTAATAGCCACCTGCAGACGCCTAAAGTCGCTGCTTATCAGATCAAGGGTACTTCTAGCTCTTAAGAGAAGGCATGGCTTGAGAATTGACAGAAAAAATACTACCACTAATACTAATTTAGGTCTAATAAGTAGCAATAATAGTAACAGCAGTAGTAGTAGTAGTGGTGGTTATGTTAATGTTAACGTGACTACTAGCGAGAGTAGTAGTAGTAGTTGTAGTAATAATCATAATAATAATAAAAATATGAATAATAAAAAAAATAATTATGATGGTTATGATTTGATTGAGAATGATGACGATGACGACGATGATGATGTCGACTTAAATGACTATGTGACGTTTGAAATAGTCGGTCTTGATAATGATGAAGATAATAACAACAATAATAATAACATTAACAACAACAATAATAATAATAATAACAATAATAATAACAACAGCAACAGTAATAATAATAGAACAGTCAATAATAATAAAATTTCACCTTCTAAACTGAGCGGGCGAAGTAACAAGAACAACAAAAACAACAATAAAACAAATAATAACAACAATAACCAATCCAAAAATGTTAAGAACGATCATAATCATAATCAACAACAACATTCATCATCGCCCAAAGCAACAACATCATCGTCATCATCATCGTCGTCGTCAACAACAACAAAGTCGTCATCATTTATCACCCGCTTTAAATCGGCTCCTGTCCTTAGAAACTTTTCATCATCGTTATCATCATCACCATCACTTAATTATAACAATAATCATAATAATGATGATGGTGATGATTGTTGTTATCATCATCATCACCAACAACAACCTACTGATCATAGTCATGATCTTGGTGAAATCAATCCCGCTTCTATCAACCGCAACAACATCAATTACAATAATAATAATAATATCTTTGATAATTCTAATAATAATATATTTAATAATAATGATAATAATATATTTAATAATAATAATATTATTAATAATGATGGCAACGCTGACGCTAATAATGAGATGGATTGTCCCACACTGATCAGTTGCATAGCCAAGCTGGGACTCATCTTGTTGTACTTTTTCATTTGTGACAGGTTATTATTATTAGTACTATTATTATTGTTATTATTATTGTTGTTGTTATTATTGTTGTTATTGTTGTCGCGATTGTTACCAGGACTACGTTCTTCATGAAGGAGAATAAATATTATACGCACGTAAACTTCTTCCTCCCTTTCACGTACCTCATGATTCTCGGCTTGTTTTTCACCGAAAGCACTAAACAAGTTAGTGGAGTGAAGGAATGAATGAATGGATGAAGGAATGAATGAATGGATGAATGAATGAATGAGAACTTGATGAACGAATGAATGAAGGATTGATGAATGAATGAAGGATTGATGAATGAATGAATGAGTGCACAGTTAGATAAATGGATTTATTCCTACCATTCACATATCCCGTGTTCTGTTGGCTTATGTTTTACATAAAGCGCTAAACGAGTTCGTGGAATGAATGAATGAATGCGTAGAGGAATAAATAATTCAGTAGATAAATAGACGAGTGAATGGATGAATAAATGAATGTCAGGTGCAGGTTCTCAACCGCTGTCAGACTGATGAATGGAAAGGTTGGATGCAGATTGTGATTCTTATCTACCATCTTACAGGTTCAGCCTATGGAGATGATTGATCGAATGAAGGGACGAATGAATGATTGATTGTCTGATTGAATGATTGGATAATCCGTAGAATGAATTAATGAATGCGTATACTCATCATTATCATCATCATCATCATCTTCATGATGATCGTCATCAGGAGCGAGCAAGGTGCTGAGTATATACATGCACATCAGGGTCATGGTATCGGCCTACCTCTTCCTATCTGCTTACGGACATTTCGTCTACTTCTTCAATAAAAATGACTTCTCGTTTCATAGACTGTGCACTGTAAGTAGTAATACTGCCCAATCTATCGACCAACTTTTTCAATCAACGAATCCATTAGCCGCTCAATCAACCAACCAATTTGATTAATTAACCATTTAACCAAGCAATCAACCAACTAATCAACCAATTTATCAGCCAACCATTCATTCAAACAACCGACCAACCAATCATTCAAACAACCAACCAACCAATCGCTCATAGGTTTTGGTTCGTTTCAATTTATTGGTAGTACTGCTATGCCTCTCGATGAATAGACCTTACCAGTTTTATTACTTCGTACCACTCGTTACTTTTTGGTTCATCGTCATTTTTATAGTAATGGCCCTACCACCAAGAAGTAGTAGCAGCAGTAGTAGTAGCAGTAGCAGTGGTGGTAGTAGCGTTGGTGGTGGTAGTAGTATTGGTGGTGGCGGCGGTGGTGTTGGTAGTAGTAGTAGTGGCGTTTTGCCGCCGTCTTCAAGCTCGTCTAATGGACATGATAGTGAGCGTATGTTTTTTTGTTTTTATAGGTGTTGTGTTTTGAATGAATGAATGAACGAACGAATGAATGAATGAATAGATGGATGGATAAGTGAGTGAGTAAATTGATAGATTAATTGATGAAATGAGCAATTCGAACAAACGAGTGAGTGAACGAGCGAACGATCAAACAAACGAACGAACAAAATTGTAAACAGTGAGTATATCCAGCTTCTTCTGGATATTCTTGAAAATTGTTGGACTGGCTGTGGTTGTCACTCTGCTATATTCATCTGAGGTAATAGTAATGATCTTCACGATGGTGATGATGATGATGATGGCGAAGATGATTGTGATGATGATGATAATTTTAATATCAACCAATCTATCTATCTATCTATCTATCTATCTATCTATCTATCTATCTATCTATCTATCTATCTATCTATCTATCTATCTATCTATCTATCTATCTATCTATCTATCTATCTATCTATCTATCTATCTATTTATCTATTGAAAGTTTAAATGATCGACCAGCTTGTCCAATCGATCAGCCTATCAACCAGCCAATCAATAAAACCAACCAACTAACTAAGCAACCAATCGACAATCAGGTGTTCTTCGACCAGCTGTTCCTCTCGACATCTCTCAAGCCTCTGTTCGTCACGTCTGATGAGTCCATTCACGACTGGAGGTTCAGGTGGAATCTCGACAGATACGTAAGTTTCAACCGACCACCACATCTTATCATATATCATCATATTGTTATCATCCTATATCAATATCATATTATCAGTATCATATTATTATCAGTATCATATATTCGTCTATCTTACCTTCTTTCGAATCACAAACTGTTCGTCAAAAAAGAGGGAATTGGCAAGAATCGAACGTTGTCGCTCGTTACTGTTTGCTTCAACCAAAATGAATGAGTAGATACAAATTCTCCCGAATAGAAAATTATGAAACTGACAATTTCATCATTAAAACCGCAGAGTTCTATATACGGCTTGTTGTTTGCACTGGCTCTCGTGATGGCAAAGAGGTTTAAATTGATTGATGATTCAGTTAGTGATCTGGTAGCATCGCGAAAAGTCAACATGCTCTCTATGGCGCTGTCTATCTGCGGCCTTGTGGTTAGTCTCTCTTTCTTTCTTTTTCTTTTTCTCTCTCTCTTTCTCTCCTTCTCTCTTTCTTTTCCCATTTTTCTTTTACTTTCTCGTCTTCTCCTTCTTCGACCTCATACATTTTTACCTCCTCGCAATTCTTATTTAATGGCTTTATTTACTAGAATATAATGTTATTTCTTTCATCCTCAACATCATTTCAAATTCTCTAAATCCAGGGTTATGCGGTCTTTACCAGCTTATGCAACAGCAAGGAGCAGTGCAATGTGGCCCACTCCTACATTGCTTTCATACCGGCAAGACGTTTATTCCTTATTATTATTATTTATTATTAATTAATTAATTAATAAATAAGAATAATAATAATAAAAAGATCCTGTCTTACATATGTCTGCGGAACATGATGGGATGTGCCAGAAGAAAGTTCAGTGCCTTCTTCGCCTGGTTTGGGAAGATGTCTCTTGAGGTTTATTATTATTATTACTTATTATTATTGTTATTATTATGCGTGTTGGTTATTTGTTATTTTATTTATATATATATATTTTTTATTATTCTTTTTATTTTACAGCTTTTCATAGCTCAGTACCACATATGGCTTGCAGCTGACACCCACGGAATTCTAGTTCTGATACCATCATACCCTGTTATGAACCTGATAGTGACGAGTTTTGTCTTCGTGTGTGTGGCACACGAAATCAAGTTACTGACGAGTCTACTGACGCCCGTCCTCGTTCCTAGGAGTAGGCTGAAGTTGGCGAGGAATGTTCTAGTGCTTTTGCTACTCTTGCTGATCAAACATCTGTTGCCATTTTGAAAATTTTTCTTCTCATTTGGATTTGTGTTTTGTCTGTACATTCTTCTCAGTTCATTCTTACATTGTTGTGTGCTTGTTCATTTATTTATTCACTCGTTCGTTCATTCATTCATTGTTTTCCCAAATTCAATTATGGCCCCATTCATTTTTTTCATAATTTTCCAATTCTTAATATCATAATTATTTATAGAATAATCTCATTTTAAAAGTCTTCAATTTTATTTTATACACACACATACATGCGCGCACACGTACACACACAGACACATACATACAGACATTTATATTTGGTGTTTGTAATAATTTTTATCCTGCGTATAATTTATCTGGTTGCTTTTTCAGACTTTTATATATTTGCCATTCTATACATATATGTATATATATATACAAATATCAATCAATCAGTCTTCGTTTAGCATCCAGAGACCCAGTTTCCGGAGGTAGGACGTTTTATATATATATATATATGTGTGTGTGTGTGACATTATGTAGCTAATTAGCCAATTATAAATGACATTCATACATTTAAATTGTAGTCTCCTACAATCTAACAACTAGTTAATTTACTTGTGAAGATCTTCGTTACGTTAAACATGCTAAATAATTAATTAGCATAATTATTGATTATAATTAATATTAATTAATTATAATTAATTAGGATTTTTTTCTCTTTTTGATTTTTTTACTCTCTTAGGAGGTCAGATTTGTTAGTGAATGTATGATTTTTTTGTTATATAATATTTCCATTCGCAAAGTAGTAGCAATTAACTGAACAATTGTAAAAAAAAAAATTCGTTTTCTTTTTTCACTATTCCCTCAGTCGTTCATTCAACCTCGTTTATTCTTGTTTACTCATTCATTCACCCACTCATTCATTCACTCATTCATTCTGTTCGATCCTGCTCTTCAGCTGTTCAGCGATCATCTGTATGGGATTACTCTTGTAAGCCGGATGATGAAGAATGGAGCGATAAAATGCTATTCCTTCATTCCTTTAGTCGTAATTATTAATAATTATTTATCAGTATTAAAATGGTTTGTATAATTATTATAATAAAACATAATAATTTAATAATAATAATAATTTTGTGGCTTACATCTCCCTTTGGACAACTTTCTGTTTCTTGATTCCTCTTATCTTTGGCTCTCTGTGTGGATGATTGAAAATTGAATGAATGAATTTACAGAAGAATGAATGATTGAGTTAATCCGTCAATCATTGAATGGGTCAATCAGACAGTGACACAATCACAGACCTTCTCTTACAGGCCAGTTTCTGGTTGTTCATCAGCCAATCAAGAGTTGGCAGAGCATCGTCCAGTGGTTTCATGTCACCGACAATGGCTGTTTCTTCACGATTTTTCTTCTCTTTTGATTCTTTAACATGTGACTTTATTATATTCATTTCTGTGTAAAATTTTGAAAAAAAGGTAAGGATATTTTATGAGATGACGATAATTTTGAAAAAAAGTCTAATTATGTATTGTTTAATTTAAAAATAAATAGTAATAATTATTATTATAAAAGTTTACTTTTTAGCCAGACTTCATGCCTCAACTTCCTCTTGTCGACTTTCTTTAATCCAAGACCTTTCAGAGATTTGCTTGTAACGGCACTTCTCATGTCAAAATTTTCATCATAGTCTGGGTCAGGTTGGCCTCCATCTTCCTTATCTTTACCTGACAACTGATGTTTGACAGAATATTCAAGATCTTTTGTCAGTTCATTAACATCGATGTCGAGTTTGTCAAAGATGTTAGTGAACGCTGGTTTCTTTGTTGTTGAGTGTTTGCTACACACTGAGGCACTATATTTTCTCCCTGATTTACTTGATTTCTGTTGGATTATTTGTATAAAAAAATAAACTATCTGTCAATTTTATTTTATCTAGCTAGAGTTCTAGAGAGTAACGCCAATAACCGATGTGTAATTTAATTTTAATTTTTTTGTATTTGTAGTAATTAATTATTAAAAAATTCAACTAATAACAATTTCAAAAACCTGAGACAAGCAAACAGAAGAGATATCCATCCTTTGAACCTCGCTGCGACCATCATCATCGTTGTCATCGTCCCGATCGTCAAAATGACCGCTTGCATTATTACAAGAATTGGTGGTGGAGTCCTTAGTTTTTCTGAAGCGCCTTTTGGGAATTCTAATTTTGCCCATTATCAAAGTTTGTGATTTCGTCTAACGAATATTATCTTATTACTTAAATTAGTAGTCTATTTAACGAATAATGGTAAGTATTTAGCAAGACGAGTGATGCATTATCGCCAGCATACGGTTTTATTTACAAAGAAAAGACAGCATAGATAAATTGATTGAACACAATGCCATTTTTTTCTCGAAAACCTTATACATACCTACCGCACATATATACATATCATATAGATATCATTCATATATATATATATATATATATATACATATATATATTTATCTACTTATATACCCACATTATAAATAGTTTGTATAAATTTTTATTAAAATGTTCTAATACAGAAATATTCACTCCGAAAACAAAGACTAATAAATAAATAAATTTGAGTGAAAAAGAAATAATATAAAAGGCAATGGTATACATATAATATATATATATTTATTTAAATAAATATATTTAAATGTGTGTGTGTTTGTTAATAGCGTAATAACTAGCATAGAAGAGAACATTATTTTCAAGTATTTCATAAAATATGTCAAAAATATGTGTGTGTTGTATGTTTTTATGTGTATATATTTATATATACTCTATTAAAGCACAGCTGAAAGAAATATCATTGTTATAAATATTAAATACAAATTATAGATATATACATATATTATATATGTGTGTATATATAATGATTGGCCCGTATCATATATACCGAATTGTTGAGTGAGACCAAGGAGGAACAGTGTAACGCAGATAAAGAAATATAAAAATATATAAATTATATATAAAATTTTCATTCATACATATATATATAACTGAGAGTTAGACTTATTAGATGAATATATCTATATAAATATATATATATATTTGTGAAATTTTAACTTAAAATAATTTTTCTGAAAATTTTTGAGGAATATATTTGTTAAGCATGAAAGTCAGGAAAAAGCATGAAAGTCACATCATCATCTTCGTCAGCGCCATAATTTTTCAAAACTTGAAATGATAACAACTCGAAAAATGCGGTCTCACAATTCTTAATCCATACTTCAAAAAATTATCCACACAAGAGTAATTCATTCATTCACACACGATTCATTCATGCACGATTCATTCACACATACAATTCACATCCGTATAATCCGTATAATTCACGTACATACCATTTATACCTGACTGCGCCATTCAGATTAGCATTCCCACTAATTAAACATATACACAAAATAACAGAAAAGCACAAGAGAAATGAACCAAAAAACTTTTCCTTTCATGATTAATTAATAGGGTAATTATTCCCAAATTATCCCAATTAACCCGCATTTATATAAACAATACAAACATTTACTTAATCCTTGATTGATTTCAACTAATCCATAATTAACCCGCACCGCAATTAATTCCATCCAAAAGATCCCAACAATTAAATGGAACATTGAACAATGTTCAAGCTACGCTTTCATTGATATTTGACTTCAAAATGAAGAGCAGAATATCGGTCTGCATCATGACTTCTCTAGTGCCTGTTGAAAATAATTCTTCCAGGGTCTGCTGCTGCTGGGGCTTGTTGGCGGGTCTCAGTAAGGTCGGCCCGAAAACCGTCGCCAAGTTTTTTAAGGTCATTCTATTCTCTGGTTCGTTTTTTGAGACTCTGTGTGTGTGTGTGTGTGTGTGTGTGTGTGTGTGTGTGTGTGTGTGTGTGTGTGTATGTAGGTAGGTAGGTTTGAGTGTAGATGCATAATATCCTATGTTAGAAACCTTTATACTACATTATCCGTATTTTTGCTGCCAATAACGTCATCGTAAGCGTCACCATTCGTCGTCGTCGTCACCATCTTCAAAGACCAAGTAGTCGTCATCATCGCGATCAGTACCTTATTAAGTGATCAATGAGGTAGAGAGCTGTGGCCCGGTTAGGCTCCGGCAGGGATTGAACCAGGGAGGTTATGCATGCCACCTTCGCCTCTGGGTCTCCCAGACCTATATCATCATCGTCATCATCATCACTATCATTAGAAGTAGTAGTAGTAGTAGAAGTAGTATCAGCAGTAGTAGTATTAGCAGCATATTTACTTGCTGAAAAAATGTATTATCTGTAATATGTATTATATTATGTATAACTCTATAAAAAAATCCGATATTCAAGTTGTTAATCCCCTGAGGCAATGAAGAAACGCAAAAATGGACTCACCCATTCCTTTGACGAGTTGGGGGTAGAGGTAATCGGTGAAGAGGGCTTCGGGCAATTCCCTGAAGTACGTTTTCAGTACCCCGGTCACCACGTTAATGTCAAGGTCGCCTAGCATCGTCGACGCCACTTTGCTGTCTGCAATCATCATCGTCGTCGTCATCATCATCATTGTCATCATCATCATCATCATCATCATCATCTTACTTTTCTCAAAGCATTTTTTCATTTTCTGGATTTCGCCACTCACCCCCGACACTCTGTATATGCCAACCTCTTGCATTCCTGAACGGATGAGTGAACGAACGAATGAAAGAATGAATGGGTGAACAATTGATAGAACGGATGAATAATTGATAGAGCGGACGAATACGACATGAATCACCTCTTTTCTCAACTTCTTGAACACAGGACTTTACTATCATTGGAATGTCTGTACCTTCTCGTCTGAATGAATGAATGAATGGATGAATGAATGAATGAATGAATGACAAAATAAATTAATAAATGAATGAATCATTTAATAAGTTATTAAATGGATGGACTCGAAATTTTTCGACGGGTCGGATTTTTTCATCATTGGACTCGGTAAAACGTTATTTATTCTTTAAAGATTAACATTTCTTTACTTGAAAATATTTTTCAAGGTTTGTTTTTCAGAGGCTAAGTAGGATGAAGCGATAAACAATCGTCTTCATTATCAATACTGAAAATAAACCTCAGTAATGTGGCTAAAATCACATAATTTAGTCCCGCATGTTGTAAGACAGAAATAAAGTAATTTTACTCTGAGAAACAATTACATTGACTGATTTTAAGCGTTTTTTAAACGTATTTTTCATTTAGTAGTGATAATAACGTGAAATTGTGATCCAAAAGTTGAATTTTTTTTCAATCAAACATTCTCCATTCATTCATTCATTCGTTCATTCATTCATTCGTTCATTCATTCGTTCACTATTTTTTTCAATCATTCATTCATTTGTCTACCCGTCAATCAATCAATCAATCCAACAATGAACTAACTTAGTGACAGATTTGATTGGCGCGCCGAAAACTCCACCCTTGACGGTTGATTGGGCACGCTTCAGGGTTTGGTCACGTGAACAGTAGATGAGGGATACTATTAGAGAGAGCTAAAAATAGAATGATGATGATCAATGGAAGAATTAATCAATCAATAAATCAATCATTTAATTAATTAATTAGTTAATTAACTAATTAACAAATCAACCAATTAATCAATCAACTAACTTCGTCATTGATTGAGATTGGTTTCTCTTGAAAGTCCCCTCTCAACCAGGCTTTGCTGAGCTGTCGGTTGAGAAAAATTAACTCGTGCTGGTGAATGACTGACCAAGTATCTAATATATCTATCTATCTATCAATCAACCAACCAATCAATCAACCAATCAATCAACCAATCAATTAACCAATCAATCAACCAAACAACAGACCTCAAGGGCACAGCTACCGACAAGACAGCCGACATCTTTGCCCATCTTGTAGCAGAGGATTCTTATTGTTTGTGAGCCTTCCAATTCTATCTCAAAATCCTATCGTAAATGGTTGGTTGAATGATTAATTGGTTGACTGATTGACTAGTAGATTGATGATTGATGGATAGATAATTGATTGATAATTGATTGATTGATTAATTGACTAATCAGTTTTTAAAATGAGTTATTGTCTAAACGAATGAACGATTAATTAATCAACCGCCGATTGATTGGGAATTGAAATATAGGTCAACAACAATAATAACAATCAGATGATGTGACCTCATTCCAGGCTGGTTCGGGCTGCTCGTAGACGACTTTCGTCTTGGCTTTCATGAAAAACTGACCAAATGTGTCAACCTCAATTGTGCAGTAATAGCCTGTGGGTGTTTGTGTGGCTAGAGTTAGGCTGTTTGTGTGTGTGTGTTAGTATGTGTAAGTGTAAATATCTGTGTAAATGCGTGTGTTTGTGTATGCCTGTGAACAAACAAACAAACAAACAAAAAAAAAGATATATAAAACCAGGAGAGTACACATACATACCTATACTAACAAATGAATGCACATACGGGTAAATACATACACGCATGAATTCACAGACAGACAGACAGACATAGAAACCTACATCTAAAGAAAAACACACACACACACACACACACACACACACACATGTTAATATTATTAAAATGAACTAACCAGAAGGTACTTTAAGGCCTTGCAGCTTGAATATCTTTATACTCAGCGTGCCAAATAGATGCTCTTCCTCCAAACTTAAATCTAATAATAATAATAATAATTACTTTTATTATTATTATTATAATAATAATAAATAAATAATAAATTATAAAATAAATTATAATTATAATGAGAAAATAGTCGATGCTAACCTTCAAAGCTTATCAGCCCGCCAAACATTTTTGTACGAGATATCTGTGTATTAATGAATGAATGAATGAAGGAAGGAGTGAATGAATGAAGGAATGAATGAGAGCAAGCTGAATGGATGAATGTATGGATAAATGAATAAATGAATGGATGAATGAACACGAACGAATGCTTAAATATAGAAACATACTTTTTGAGAATTCAACAATGACTGCAATTCTGTACTCGAAAAATTTAGGGATGTTTGAGCTGTAGGAACGATTGTAATTAATTAATTTAGTAATTAATTTTAATTGACTGATTGTATAAATGATTGATTGAATGAAAATGCAACTGATTTGTAGATGATCCTTAACTATGATAAACGCGAATTAATTTTTCCAAAAGACGAGCAAATGCTAAACAACAGCTGTTTAATTATTATTAATTATAATTAATTATAACGACCATAGTAACTATAATTAAGTATAATTATCACAGTAGCTATAATTAATTGTAACAATTTTCAATCAGACCTCGACTAAGTAGGCCAGTGATTGTAGTCCTCCAACTCGCCCTCTCGTAATCCGAAGCCATGAGGAGAGTGTGCTGTCTGCAATTTAATAATATATATATATCCATTTATTCGTTCGTTTTTTCGTTCGTTCATTCATTCATTCATTTATTCAGTCAATCATTCATTCAGTCAGCCATTCACCTGTTCATCTTCCTGTTATGGATCTTAAAGATGAGGCAGGGTGAGGACTTGATTAGTAAGGCCTGCTGTTCGATCATCTTCTTCTTCAGCTTCTCCAAATTTTTATTCGATCGAACGTGGAACGACCACTGCCTCTGTGAATGAATGAATTGATGAATTAATTAATTGATGAATAAATTAATTGATGAATGAATTAATTAATAGATGAATAAATGGATGGATGATTAGGTAGACGGACAATGTGATAATGAATAGATGATAACCGTTTGGACAATGGATGAATGAATGAATGAATGAATGAATGAATGAATGAATGAATGAATGAATGAATGAATGGAATGAATGATCTAACTTGGGAATCGCTATTTTCTTTAACGGCCCCTTTCAATTCGGCTTTCAATTCTTTCTGAAGTTCAGACATTTTTTTTTGAAGGATTTCAATCTCCTGTTTTTGCGACTCGAGCAGTTGCCTCTCATCTGATTGGTCGGTTGATTCAATCAATCAGCCAATCAACCAACCAATCAATCAATCACTCAACCAATCAAGCAATCACTAACCCACAAACCAACCAATCAATTGATCGATCGATCACTCACCTTCAATGCAGACAATGTCATCGAGTGAAAGATCAATCAATGAGATATACCACTTCGGCTCCAAATGAATTTTCTGTCTGTTCGTGAATGAATGAATGAATAGATGAATGAATGAATGATTGAAAGAATGAATAAACGAATGTCTGGGTGAATCAATCGCATTAACTTTGAACGTACGAACGAACGAACGAATGAATGAACACGTGGACAAATGAAGGAGCGCATAGACTAACGGCCCTACTCACTTTGTAGTGATCTTCTGTCTGGCGCAAACGATGACGTCATTGAAGAGGAAAACGTGTCTGACCTTTCTGACCTGACCCACTTTCTCGACTATAAGACCCTGCTTGGCCAGGTAGCGTTGGTGGTCCGCCTAATTAGGTCAGGTTAAATAGATTGACAATAATATTATTAGTATTATTGTTATAATAAACATAATTAAACTTTTCCTAACATTAAGATTATTGTCCGGACTATCGAGGTTTTCGAGAAAAGATCTTGATAGATTTAGTGTCTTTTGTAGGGTGTCGTAATCCGGGTGGCTGGCCGGAGTGCATTTTATGAGGTCCTGCGGTTATGATGATGATGATGCGCTGACGACGTTAGCATGATGATGATGATGATGATGATGATGATGATGATGATGATGACGTAATGATGAACAGAATAGACTGGTGTGACAGTAAAGGAATGAAGCAAAAAACTTTCCTTACATGCAAAACTAAAGAATTTCTTTGGAATCTCAGTACGGGTTTGTGCAAAAGTTCTGGTTGAAAGAATGAATGAATGAATGAATGAATGAATGAATGAATGAATGAATGGACGGATAAATAGATAAATGAATGAATGAATGAATGTAAAACAAATGAATAAACTGACCCTCCAAACTTGGGCTCTCTGAAGTACTTTTAATCCTGATTTCCTTCATTAATTGAATCAAGTGGAAATATATTAAAAAACGAACGATTGAACGAATAAATAAATGAAGGAAGGAAAGAATGGATGAATGAATGAATGAATAAATAAATGAATGAATCAATCTATCAATCAATCAATAAATCAATCGATCGATCCACTAATCAACCTTAGTGAGGTCAGCAAATTGTTGACTCTCAGACCAGCACCTGTGTATGGTTGCAACAGCTTTGGGATAATTTTTGAGAAAGTCTGGAGCTATCCTATGCTCCTCATCTGCCTGATCGATTAATTTGTTGGTTCATCGGTGAATGAATGAATGAATGAACGAGCGAACGGATGAACAAGATTCAAATAGACGAATCAGCATTTGAAACTCATTAGCAATTTGCAGTTTTACGCATATAACTCCATATCCAATTGATCGATCAATCAACCAATCAATCAAAAACCAATCAATCAACCAACCCACCAATCAATCAACCAGCCAATCAACCAACCAACCAGCATTTTAAAGACATCAGCAATCTGTTGTTCGCCCGACCACTGCTCCAACTTGGGAGCCAGCTGGTAGACAAACATCTTGTGTGCGTGGTGCAGCTCCGGGATCCGATGGAAGATTATCTCGACGTCCGCTGCCGAGATGAGCATTTGAGCGGTCGAGGAGATGTTTTTGTAGGTCGTCATGTGCTGTTGTGGGTGGTGTGAATGAATGAACGAATGAATGAATGAACAAATGAATGATGAATGAATGAATGAATGAATGAATGAACGAATGAATGAACGAATGACAACAATGCAATAATGTAGCAAAAAAACCCGGAGATTAAAATATAACACTCATTGCCTCATTTATTCATCAATCTTTTCAGTCTTCTATAATTCATTCATTCACTTTTCCTATAAAAAATTCATTCATTCATTCGTTCATTCATTCATTCATTCATTCATTCATCTAACCTTCATTAACATATCTAGAATGCCGAGGTAGGAATTTTCACTTTCCAGAATGCTCTTAACGACCCACCTCCTCATCTGCAACTTGCTGTCCTCTTCAACTGGAATCTAATTGGTTGGATGGTTGATCAGTCGAATGATTGATTGATTGATTGGTTGATTTATTGATTGAATAATTGAACAAACGATAGACTGATTGATTTAATGAATGAATGACTGAATAGATAGAAGATTGGCTGATTGATTGATTGGTAGTTGGTAATATTACTGAAGCCCCCAAAAAAACAGCCAATCAGAAGAGTAAAAATTAACCAGTCAGCGCTTCAAAACGTGGGCTAATGAAATCGAAAACCAATCACAAAACGGAAAAAGATCCCGTGGGACTTACATCCTCGTTGTCTGATTGGCTATCGACCGAGTCAGCTGATTTCAATATGGACCTTCCCTCTTTCCAGCTCCTATTGAAAACTGAATCGGTCCCGACACTACGAACTATAAAAAACCACAAAAACAATAAAAACAACAATAGCAACGATAACAATAATGACAATAAAAATAACAACAACAACAACAACGATAATAATAACAACAACAGCAATAATAATAATGACAGCAACAAACCCGACTCTCCAGATAGGAAACTTTCATTGCAACTTTCAGTCGCCGTGGTATTGTTACTAACACTGCTAACATTGTCATTATTGTTGGGATGATCATTATCAGTATCAGTAGTAATTATATTATTATTGTTGTTGTTGTTATTATTATTATTATTATTGTTGTTGTTATCTTTGTCAAAAATCCATTTCTTCCTGCCTTTAACCACTCTCTGCTTTGCCTTCAACAACTCACTATCATCGTTATCGGCAATCACATTACTATTACCGTTGTTGTTGTTATTAATGTTATTATTATTATCATTGTTGTTGTTGTTGTTGTTGTTGACAGCAAAAGATTTGGCAAGAGAAGTGACGCTGCTCTGGGTAGTATTGCCAGCATTTGCAACAACGTCAGTATTATTATTGTTATAAGTAGTTGTAGTTGTAGTGCTAGAAATGTTTCTACCCTTAAACTTGACATGTTGTTGCAGCTTATGAGGATGTTGTTGTTGTTGCGCTTGTAGCGATTGTGGCTGTGGTTGCGGTGGATGCGGTGGTTGCGACTGTAGCTGCATCGTGCTGTAGTAAGTTTGCACCTTGTTGATGGCTCTGTCTTGTAGAAGCCTCAGGTTTAAGTATAATGGTTCATCTTCTTCTTCGTCGTCGTCATCTGTCGACGCTGTTGTAGTTGTCATGTTATTGTTGTTGCTGTGATGATGACAATTACGTAATAATAAAAACAACGGCAATAAAAAAAGAAGAAAAATAACAACAACAACCATCCTCCTAACCGGACTTAATAGATTTAGATTTTGTCAGAGAGCAAGTTGATGATGACGTCAACACTGGCGGTGACGTAGGCATTTCTTCCTCTTCAACGTCATCGAAATGAGCTGAATCTGCTAAAGCTGCTGCAGCGGCTGCTTGCGATGGCGACGATGACGTTTGTTGCGTCGCTTGCGTGCCCGGTAAGACAATTTCCTGTTTGGTGTTTTACGTTCGGTTTCGGTTTCGTTTTAGTCTCAATTTTATAATCTTTGAATGTTAGTATAACTGGATTTATGGCCATAAATTTTTGTGCTTTTGATTGGTCGCATAAACTCTTGCTAATCACTTTCTATCAGTAGGCTGTGTTAGTTCCATTGTGAATTATATGATTGCTCATTATTGATTTCAATATTTTTCGCATCATCTATTCATTCGTTCATTCATTCATTCATTCATTCATTCAATCATTCATTCATTCATTCATTCGCTCACACATACCCATCAAACATCTGTTGCTGTTATAAAAACAGAACATACATAGTTGAACAGCGCATCACAGATAAGATAAGGTTAATACTGTGCTATGCTATGCCTGCTGGTGCAAATATACTGGCTTTAAAAAAATCACATGATGTCTTAAACACAAAATAATCATAATAATAATCATAATAATAATAATAATTATTATTATTGTTGTTGTTGTTGTTGTAATTGTGATGTTAATGTTTGTATAATTACATACTGAAGTTCTAGCAATTATAAATAGGCCAGGCAATGTGTTTTTCTGCTTGGTGTTCCCAAACTATTATCATAACTGGATAATAATAATAATAGTAATAATATAATAATAATAATAATAATAAAAATAACACAATAATAATAATAATAATAATGACCTCATAGTAATTCCTTCTCAATCTCCTTGAAGAACTCTTTATGTCATCAGCTCTCTCTGATGGTGTAAAAAAGAATAATAATATTTATAATAATAAATAATATAATATAATTAAAATTATAATATCATTCAACAACAATCCATCCATCCATTCTTTCATTCATTCATCCATTCATTCATTCATTCATTCATTCATTCATTCATTCATTCATTCATTCATTCATTCATTCATCTATTCATCCATCTATTCATCTATCCATACGTGTGTTTGTTTGTTCATACATGCAACCATTCATTCAGCCTAATCAAATGCAATCATAGAAACACAAACAACACAACTCTAATCCTAATTAGTTATGATCCCAAATCCCAAAATATCCCGTAGCTATCCTAAGGATACTAACCAACAAATGATATCTCCCCACTACTGCTATCATCATTGTCTACGCTAGTCATCTTGACGACACCAAGCTGACCTGAACCCTCCTTTTGTCGTTTCTTCTTTTCCCATGATGGAAAAAATGACCTGACCTTTGACCTCGTAGCTGGAGATGGAGGCTGCTGCTGCTGCTGCTGCTGTTGTTGCTGCTGCAATGTGGTGATTGAAAATTTTTTTTTGAATGATTTGTTCTCCTGCACGCTGTCTTTCGAGATGACCGGCTTCACTGGAGGTAAAGGAGGTGGTGGTTTGTTCTGCTTGGGGAAAACAATAGGTGGGGTAGGGACGGGCTGGTCATCTGGGGCCAGTTTGTTCATGCTTACCCTTGGCATCGGGACTGGTCTTGAAATGAGTCTCTGCTTCGTGAGTTCATCAATTGATTTTGAATGTAGGCTAGCATTGTGTAGCAGAACGTTTGTGTCCAGACCCAGAGGTATCTCTCTCGGGTCGTGGTAGTTTTTTTCAAAATTTTTCTCAAAATCTAAACTGTGAGTCCGTTTGCCGAGATCATCGATTGGTGGAATGAAGACTTGATTGATGTCATGGTCATAATCTGGGTTGCTGTATAAGCTGCTGTTGTTAGCACCTTTTGATATTACCTGATCACAGCTGCTGAAGCTATTTGAAATGACCTCCTGGTTTTGGTAAGAGATCATTGGAGTAACTACTGATTGTAAATAATCGTCCGGGCAAGGCGTCGATGTCGAACCATTTGAACTGAAGCTACCCTGCAAAGGAATGGCGTTATCTAATTCAGATTTGCTGGCCTCAATGTTTTTGTAATCATTTGCTCTCTTATTTTTGATCTTTTGAGTCGGGGAATGTAATACAAATGGGGAAACTTTGCTGTTGTTGTTGTTAATACCATGCAATACATCCCATAAAAAAGAAGCTATAAATTCTTTTTCCATTAATTTTTTATTTAATTCCGCAATGGACTCATTGCAGCTTTGCAAACATTTTTCAACAGCACCCCAATCAATATCACCATCTTCACTGATCTGTTCAAGGCAGTTTAGATCTGGGGGCGTCTGATTAGTGAATTTTTTCCTCCAATCTCGCAAAAAACTTTCACGAAATGACATATTAATAACGCAAAATTTAAAAAAGAAACTTTTTCCTAATCAAGTCAAATGTTTGGAAGGAAGTTGCAATCAATGATGGGGGCAGTGATTCTATCAAAAATCGATAAAACAGCTAGCTAAAATATTACAGAAAACTATAAAACTACAGAACCTACATCGAGATGGATAAGTTTCATATCGCGAGTTAGTGAATTAAAATATTTGACGTTCAAACGTTCTCTTTGAGGTAACATCCTACTTAACTCTATTTACCATCCGGTGTAATTTTTTCATATTTACTAAATCACGATATTTTTTAAAAGTAAACCTAAGTTTTAAATCTTTTAAACCACACACAGATCAAGTCAGGGTCAGACAAGAATTCATCGTGACGGACTTCCAAGTCGAACTCCCATAAAAATTCCAACAAACTTCAACAGTTTTATCAAACTGATTTAACCAGTTTGCATCATAATTTCGATTATATCACACAAATTTACAGAACAAAATGGCATACACAATAACATTAAATAGCCTGCACAATCAATCAATCAATCTTCGTTTAGCGTCAAGAGACCCAGTTCCCCCGAGGTAGGACGTTGTTTTCTTCGCCATAAATTATTTTTGCGCCAAATTAGACGATCAGTTTTATCCATTTCATTCAAATTTAGAGCTTTCATGTCTAGCTCGATTGTTTGCGACCAGGACTTCTTTGGACGGCCTTTGTATATTATATATATACATATTAACAACCGTATATAAGACTATATAACTATATATAATCAAGCCTGCATAAGCAGACTATTAAATTTATTTTCCTAACAATTCGCCAAAAAATATACACATAATAATTAAACAATAACAAGCAATGACGATGATTATAAACCTCAGTCAATGGAAAAACTTGCAAATGTTAACATTAAAAAAAGGTACAAGAAATTCTACACGTTGAAAATCTACTATGAACAAACAAAATTAATAATAACAATTATTTGTTCATAAAAATAATAATAAAATTTATAATTAAGAATAATAATTATTAATTATATAGTAATATTTAGACGAATCTTCTCCTCGCTGCCTTCTCTCTCATACCCCTCAACTTGATCTTCCACTTTGTCAACTTCTCATCATCATTCACCAGTAGCTAACATTGTGAAGGTACAAGTATTTATTTACACGAATCTATCCATTACATATTTAATAATTATTATTAATATATTGTCAAATTATAATATTTTAAAAATATATTTTTATTAGATATAATACAATAATAATTATGTTTAAAAAATGATAATTGAATTGAACAAAAATAGCAAGGATAAAACAATGGTGACAACAAAGCAACAAAGGCACAAAAAGAAACCGAGGGGTGGATTAATTGGAGAGGATCATTAGGATCAATCTGCCTAACTGGGGGCTTAGAAATAGACAGAGTCTGTAGGGATGTGCTGGAAAACATGGCCGACGCGTGAGAAGAATCAATCTGACTACCTTTTGGCAATGGAATCTATAAAATAATATAATAATGTGATATAATTATGCGGATGTGCATATATATAATTATATTCATAAATTCTATAATAGTAATAATCTTAGCAACCATAATAAAATAACTATAATAAACTAGGAACACTATGACAATAGCAGCCCCATAACTCACTCACATCAGATCTGCTACTTTTAAACCTGGACTGAACAAAATCCCCACTGTCTATCTCATTAATCCTATCGATTCTGCATTGTTGATCTTCAAATGATGATCCATTTAGTGATGTGCTGGTCGTTTTATTAATTCTTAATTCCTCGTCGTCAGCCGCTTGAAATTTTCAGTATTTATATTAACATAAGTATATACATGATTTTTTAAAGATTTATATTTGGTTAAATTGATTAATTAATTTAATTAATCAATTAATTAGTTAGTTAATTTACCTGCATTTTTCAATGCTTTCTGGATTCTATCTTCCTTTGAACGAGTGCTGTGCTGATAGTTCTGGGTTTCTGTGTGAATTATAAAAATATAAATGAGTAAAAAATTTAAATTAATTTTTATCAAAATCATAACTAAAGAAATAAATGAGAAATAATACAAACAACAAACAACACATGTTTAGACAACATTTTCCGCGAGATCGGGGTTGCCGTTTGGCTACCTATGATGAAACCGAAATACCCCTCGACGCCATTCCATCATAAGTAATTTATTTGGCTAATTTTTACACAGGACGCCCTTCCTTACGCAACCACAGTTATAAGCGGTGGGCCTAGTCTTTGATGATCCAACATCACTCACAAGGCAGTGAGGGTCAGTTTAATGTCATAACCAGGACAAAAAAAATGAGAAATAATAATAATAATAATAACCAGGTGAACTTTCTTTAGACCTGTTTTCTTTTTTATCATACCTGGAATGTGCAGATGACCTTTCTTTTCTTCTATATTTCTCCTTTCCTTTATCCCTCTCTCGCTCTTCCTCTCTGGGTCTATTATTTTTTCTTTCTGAAGATCTAATTCTTTGTCTCGACCTTTGTTTATGCCTCTCACTGTCTTTGCTGGTTCTCTCTCTCTCTCTTGATCTCTCTTTATTTGAGTGTCTCCTGTTCTTACCTACCCGACTTCTGCTGCTTGAATGACTTTTTGATTTATGCCTAATGAAAATTGGGAGAAAAATTAATTATTAATATTGTCTGTTTTCTTTTTCAACAAAATCTTTTGACTAGTTAGTCACAAAATTAATATTTTAATTTAATTAATAAATTAAAATATTTCAAATCGAAACTTCAATTGTCAAATAAAATTCATTAGTTAAGTTTAAGAACCGTCGGAGCTTTCCATCACTTTTTCTCTCGCGGTGTCGACTAGTAGACCTCGATGGTGACTCCGACGAAGAAGACGACGAGGAAGACATGATGACAAAACCATACACAACAAAACGAAAGCCCCCGAAACAACCCAACCGGACAATATATTATTTGTGATTGGTAAGGAAAAATTAGGAAAAACAGTCAATGTGTTACCGATTTTTTAAAAAAAATGTACAAAAGTTAGAAATAACAATTAATCTATTTTTTACAAGTTTTAATATGAATATATTATGATTAATTCGGATTATAATATAAAATAATAAAGAGCTAGTAGTAAATAAGTTCACTCTTAATCATAGCGTACCAAATAGTACGAAGTTCTGAAACTGTTGAAAGAGAGGGCAGAGAGGGCTTTTAACTCGAACGATAAAAAATCACCCTCCAACTCCCTTCCAAAAGTAAGCTCCTTGTTCGACTGTTGAAAGTGAGCGAAGGCCGTTATATTTATTCTAGTTATATGTATCAAACAGTATCTTATTGAACAAAGTAGTATCATAAAATGAATAAAGATACTTTCTTCAAAATTTAAAAAATTCTCAATTTGATTTCATTACGAAATCGATGATGATGATGGTGATTGTGACCTGACCATATAATTAGAATAATTAAAAAACATCGAATAAAATTTATAAAATAGGATGAGTATATCGTTGCAAAATTGTTGGAGGAAATGACGTCATGTTAACAGTAATTATTTTACTGCATGGTAGTTAATCAGCCGGTATATAGGTTATATTCAATTTCTATCAATTAAATTTGACCAAATATCATACGCAGGCAGAACTAAATAAAGAAATAGATAGATAGATATATACACGTTGTTATAATACATTTATAAGGTTGTATTTACACATTCAAATTGTATAATTGTGTTATGGTGTAGTCTCAAATTATTTTGAATTCTCTTAGAAAAATTGAAACTTTTTACTATATATATGTATATATATGTATATATATGTATATATATATATATATATATATATATATATATATATATATATATATATATATATATATATATATATTGGTAACAGACTGTTGTTAACGCAACATTTCAAAAATTCAACACTACTTTCAACATTGTTCAACTTTTTTATATTTCTTTTTAATTTAATTTAATTTTTCAAATTAAAAAGAAATATAATAAAGTTGAACAATGTTGAAAGAAGTGTTGAATTTTTGATATATTAGTTACTTTTATCAACAATTTTTGAAAAATTTTCAATTTGATTTCATCGCGATATCGATGATGATGATTGTGACCTGACTAATTAAAAAGCATCAATGAAAATTTTTAAAATAGGATGGAGAATTTGTTATATTGGGATATTCGTATATAAAGCGAGCACAATTTTAATATAAAAGCGCTTATAAGTCTACGCATATTGGCTCAGCTTGGCTCAGCTTGGCTCGGCTCGGCTTGGAATCGGATGTTAAGCAAGGTGTGGTCTCAAACTATTTTGAATTCTCCCAGAAAAATTTGATCTGTGGCGCACAGCACTGATTACTCTTGCTTTTATAATGAATTTGTATGATATATATATATGTGTGTAAATATTATATATATATATATATATATATATATATATATATATATATGTATATATATAACTATAATCCCTGTATACAAACAATTAATAAGATTATATGTTTATATAAAAAGCAATATAGCAGATTCAACCAGCCAATCAAAAAGTTTCGAAGGCGTTCGTTCGATGACGTCAATTTAGTACGGTTAGCATTGTTGTTAAGACTGTATAATAGTGTAGTACATACATTAAATAAGGTTTTTACTGATGTGAATGATTGGAATGATGAAAATGTATGGTGGAAACGAGTATAAATAGTGGCTGAGACGACATGAAAATCAGATCAGGCATTCTGCCTCGCTTGAAGCAGTCTGTCTGATCTCATTTTTTTTATTTTTATAATTTATTTATTTTTATTTATTTTATTATATAGAGTTATATAGAGTTTGCATGTCTATGGCTTGTGTGTTTGTATGTTGTATTTTTTTATATTTTAGGGGGGTTCTTTAGCGGTTGCTCATGCATACATACATATATCATGTTTGTTTATGTGGTAGTATTTTATGTTCTGTTTTACTCCTTTTTCTCTTTCTTCATGAGACTTAAGTTAAGTTAATGAAACATAGGTAGGTGAGATTTAAAATTAATTTATTATATAGGTAGGCTAGGGCATAAGGCAATTTAGTTACATAGGTAGGTTAGGGACTTCTATTCTATTACTCTACTTGGTGGTGTGTTTTTTGTTTTGTGTGTTTTTTTGTTTTGTTTCACACCATACATATAACAGGTACGCGGTGGTTCCTGGTTTTAGTGGGTTTTTTATTGATTGAATGGGGTAGTATGCATGGTTATATAGAGTTATATAGAGTTATATAGAGTTATATAGATTTATATAGAGTTATATAGAGTTATATAGAGTTATATAGAGTTATATAGAGTTATATAGAGTTATATAGAGTTATATAGAGTTATATAGAGTTATATAGAGTTATATAGAGTTATATAGAGTTATATAGAGTTATATAGAGTTATATAGAGTTATATAGAGTTATATAGAGTTATATAGAGTTATATAGAGTTATATAGAGTTATATAGAGTTATATAGAGTTATATAGAGTTATATAGAGTTATATAGAGTTATATAGAGTTATATAGAGTTATATAGAGTTATATAGAGTTATATAGAGTTATATAGAGTTATATAGAGTTATATAGAGCATAAATCCTATATAGATACCTTTCTTTGAGATTTTTTCTTTGCCGACCGGTCGGCTTCTTTGCGTTTTTCTATTTTCATTTAAATTAATTAAATAAATAAGATTTTTCCATTTATTTAGGTTCATTCAGGTTCATTCAGGTTCATTCATTCAGGTTGAAGCTCCAGAGAAGTC